AAAATACCGTAACAATGACGAGGTTCAAACAAGAGAGGGCCTGCAAATAAAATTTAGTAGTTAGTAGTTTACCTTGGCGAGAGTTCTGTTTTGAGAAGTAACGTGTACCTCTTTTCTTTGCATTGAAAACCCAGTAGAATTCTAAAAGCATCAAAATTGCGCGGTAGGTTTTTTTGCGATTAGGCGATATATTAGGTCTAAATAGCGCAAGACAATAGCCGCAGTTTGATGAAATTAGAGAAAATTAAAGTGCAACCTATGTTTTTGAAATGCTGTTAGTGGTGTGAATGTCCTGCGCGTCTTTTCCATTGGAAAACTATCCAGATAACTCAAATTTTTCAGTTGTTTCAAATCACCTATGCTTGCAACATATTAAGAAGTCAACGATCAACACAACTGATGTTGCCATATTAGCATGACTCTCTTAACTCGTTGCATAATAGCATGGTGTAAGATCACTCTGTGCTTGTCCTTAGCAAGAAAACTCTGTTTTCTTCAATTTAAATTTGCCAGTAGTCAGAACAAGCTCAAAATGAACTATTTTTATACTATTTTTTGATTGCTTTGACGTGCATTCTACGTGCATTCTGAAACTAGTTTTTTGAACATAAAACAGGCCCGTCACAATCATGCGTAGTTTCTGCTCTGAACCCAAAGAAAAGCGATGACAATGTTAAAAGAATAATTACAACGTTCATCAAATATTTCACCTATATCTTCGATTACTAGGATCCGCAGTTGCTGAACTGCTAGTTACTATTGAAATGGTCCCTAAACGAAAAGATTCACTGGGAGAGGGGAACGCTAAGTATTTCAAACAGTTCTTTATAATACTTTGTTCAATACTCAGAACTGAGAGTTCCAGAGGCGCTGTGAATGGACTATTCTGCGACAGAAAAAAATGACATAGAAAACTCAAAACACACCCAAAATTCAAACATTCCCCTAACTTATACAGCAAGATCAAATTTTCAAAAATGTTACATCACCCTGCAAGCAACAAGGCGGCTAGCCAAGTATTTCGTGAAAAAGTTGAGTAAGTGGAGAGTTTGGATTCGCGAAAAGCGGTAGAAAGCAGAGCCAAAGGAAAATGCGACTATTTTTTCATTCAAAGTGACCAATATGATGGCGTCCAAATCGTTTTTTCATTCAAAATGGCCAACATAATGGCGTCCAAATCGTCAATCAAAAAAAGCTATCCAAATTACACGGGTCATTAGAAACCAGTTTTAAAAACTCTTTACGTGCTCAAATGTATAGCATTTCAAACTATCGCATGTCGATTAGCCGAAGCCGTTGGCTAATGCGAAGGCATTTAAGCGAATTTTGTTTGCCTTCTCGACCTTTCGTATTTTCTTTCGGTTCGAACTTTCCGCGAAAGTCCATTTGACATGCGAGTAAGTTCTTTTGCTTGTTTTCTGTCCCCAGGGTAATGCTGAAAACAGATTTTTGGAAGTTTTTTTTGTTGTTGCAATCTTGCATTATAGTAGGCATAGATGCGTTTTTCAAGATATTTTATACGCTTTTAAACGCTGCCATTTCTTCCCATCTCTTTCTCTCTAATTAGCTTCATATTTGATGTCTCTCATACATAAATGAACGTGGACATTATTCGAAAAGGCAAACTCTCAATTCACTTGATACAGGACTATAGTATAAAGCTTATTTAGAATTGTTTGTCAATTGGGTTCTTTGTAATACGTTGTCCTTAGGTCTTGAAAGTTTCTCGTCGTTTAATATTGTTGTTTCCATTTGGCTCTATCTCTATATAATAAAGTGCAGACCCCCCCCTGTGACTCATCGTGTCGGTTTGTCGCCGATGACGTCATCAACATAGTTGTTTACCGTTTCAGTGCAAAAGATTTCTCAGAACTTAAGAGGAAAACCTCATTTTTAAGCGTTATAACACATGGATATGGGTTTTGTGAGCGATACGACCATCAAAGACTATAAGAGTTTTACGCATTTGTGTAGGATGCTAAACGAAGTCAAAAAGGCAAAGAATCCTTGAGTATTTGTTTTTCACCACAAATATTTATTTCGGGCAAGAAAGCTGCTAAACATATCTGTGCAAGTTTTCGTGAAAAGAAAAATCATTGAATTTCAAGGCTTCCTGGAAATTCTTTGTAAGACTCCACATCTACTTTCATATAAGCGTACATTTGCTGTCGCCAGAAGCCAGAAATGAATGTTACTTTGAAGAAAGGACATACTGGAACACTACGGCATTTTATGGCCTTTTAGAAGCTGCAATTTTTAATACCATAAGCTGCACTTTTCTTCACCGCAGGAAGAAGTGTTGTTTCAATGTCGAAATAATTTATGTTCAAGTATTAGATTTTTCCAGACGCCTTGACCTTCCCTTTCTCCATTGGCTCCTTCGTATAAAGCGTCTCGAGCTAAATCGGTCCATGAATTCTAGCAAAAACGAAAGCAACAAATGTTTAAATTATATAAGTTACTCCCAATTTTAGAGAAAGCTACGAAGAAATATGCTTTGGATAGCGACTATCTTTGCTAGGCTATTTGCGCTTTTTTTCAACTATCAGAATCTTTAGGCTTTCTACAAATCGGAGAAGGCTGCCAAAACCAACTTGCCTCAATTTCCGCAAAAATCATTCCAACGGGTACCTTAGGAGGGAACTTACACACATTCTTCCTAAACAAAGCGCCGCGAAGCGGCGCTTTGGCTAGGGTACCTTGGGTGGCGGTCAAGAATAACGATAGCTTGCACCAGCCGCCACCGCCACCCTGAGCAACCTGTAAGTAGCCTCGCTTTCAAAGAGCGTACGTCCGCGCAACATGCTGCATGCGTGTTACGAAAGAGCACGGGAGACGCTCCGCTCAACCCAAATATGTCGCGGTCAACATGAAAGCGGAGGCATAGGTTCAGAAAATGGGCAATTCTGAGAAGATTTGCATCGCTCTGCTTCAAATGTTTCCGCGTTGTTCGAGAAGGACAAAAAAAGGAGAAAAGAAACAGATTATTAGGAATGAATCCTTTTTAGGATATCCGCTTGTTCGATTAGATTTGATTGTTAATCACCAACATCTTCAATTGACCCTTAATAAGTTCTACGTCTTCTGAAAAAACAGGTGCTGATAATCACAGAAAATTTAACACTAAATTATAAAATGCAATGCCGACGACGAAATTGACAGATATTTAGGTATATTCAAAAGATCATTTTGATATTTTCTGTTTGAACTATCGTCAAGAGAATGATGGCCTAAGAATTTGGGGTGTATTCATCAAGGGAAATCTTTGGCTCGTTCAGCCCTCAGGGCGATCTCTGAAGTGCGAACAATCTGAGATCCTTCCCTGATGTGTTAGGTTAACCTTATAACCTATTTAATCATTGCTATTCAAGAATAGGATCATCCATTGCTATTCAAGGATAGGAACTAGTTATTGAAAGAAAGCTTCTGAGAGGAATCTGATCCTGAATGTAAAAGAATTTGGACAAGTTGTTACAAACCGCTTAAACACTAACTTTGGTTTGATCTGAACACGCTAGGACTTGATTTCACCATTGTTAGCAGCTTCCTATTTTCCACTTCCGATGCGACTTTTTAAGAAAGAGTCTGACAGAAATGACGAATACCACAAGAATATTCTGAGAATAAAAAATCACTGAGTAAGATTTAAAACTAGAAATTTGCTTGTTTCTAATCATAATTTTGACAACAGCAATGTCCAATTGA